CACCACACTATTGTCTGTATGAGTTTGTTTTATTCATGTGTGTGTTTTATATCCCACATATGAGTAAAATTGTATGGTTCTTGTCCTTTTGTCTGATTCATTTCTTCAAGGCCTGACAGGACAGGGCTGTCCCCGGAATGGGGTGAAGGGCAGTGAAGGCGACCCCACTGCAGTGTTCCCTCTTCTCCTCTCCTTTCCCCTCCCCCACCCCGAGCCTTCTCCCAGGACCAGGTAGGTGCCTGGGAAGGCAGGGACCTACATTTCATCTCCTTTTCCCCCACAAGTCTTGACCTGCCTGGGGGGTTGTTGTCCCCGGATCACCTGGTGTAGGTTAAGACTGTGTTCCTACCATCAGCGTCAGCCAGGTGGGGAGCAACTCATAGGAAGCCCTTTGGTTGCTGGCCCACTTCCCACTCTCAGTCAAAATGAAAGACTCCCTCCGAGGGCCTTGTGGTGCTCATGCTGCCCCAGAGGCCTCGGGAGAGGTTGTGCTGTCCCCTACCCCAGGCCAGAGCCTCCGGGGGGGGGTGGAAGGCTGGGAGCGGCTGGGCCCTGTATGTGGGTGAATGGGGGGCGTGGGCCCAGCCTCAGTTCTCTGTGAAGAAGGCGAGACCCTGGCCGCCCCACTAGTGACAAGCACATGGCCATGGGGCCCCAGGTTCAAGGTGCCATCGGGGCTCTGGGCTGCCCTGTCCAAGGAGGCCCCCCTTGGCCTGACCTGTGACCGTGAGGGTGGGAGAAGCCCAGCAGAGGTCGGTTCCCCACCGGCCTCTCTTGCGTGCGGCTCTTCTGAATCTGGAACTCCAGGGCGCTGACTGCTCCTGCCAGCTCACCGATGGCCTTTGTACCCACAGTGGAGCTGAGCTATTAAGGGTAGGACAAATGTGACACTAAGGGTCAAAAGATCAGGCTGCCAGGCCTGGCTCAGCCACTGATTCCTGTGTCGTGAGGAGGCTGGGCTGGAGGTCCTGATGGTTCTTCCCCCAATGTGTGGGTCTATAAACCTATCATAATGGTGCAGAGGCCTACCTACCTCCAAAAACACTTCTTTCCTATGAGAAAAAAGTAATTTCTTTGGGAAGTAATTTCCACCCAAGAGCAGAGGGAGGGGAAAGAAGGGAGGCTCCAGGCCTAGAATAATAGGTCACCTGGAGGTGAGAAGGGTGGGGTAAGGACCCTGGGAAAGCCTACAAGCCCGAAGTTAAAGACTTCCTATCTGTGAATATCTGAATTTACAGAGGCTCTTAGACCCCTACTGAAAGGATAAGCTTCATTGTGGATCTTCACAGCAGGCGCCCTTAACATATGTTAAATGACTCAACAAGCTAGCCCCACCCGGCTGCATTACCATTGATTCTTCTAGAAGGCTGGGGCTTGGGTTCCAGGGATGTCACCTTTACGCCCTGGGCACACAAGTGAAGATCTGGGGTGGCAGTGGTGTGTGGGGGGAGGCGGGGGGGAGTGGGTGTGTGTAGGGGACCAGGACTTCATTTTTGTCAAATGAGGATTCTCCTTATTTTTTATTTTATTTTATTTTTTTGCAGGGGTGGTGGTGGTTCTTGAACTGACAGGAAATGGAAAGCTCTTTAAATAACATTTGACACACTTTGTCCTATTTCCTACTTACTTTCAGTGTTTTCCTAACCTCTCCAGGTAGCCAAGCAGCTTATAGGGTTCTGATTCGAGCTTCCCATGTGATGAACTTGGTCTGGTTCTGCATCTCACAGGTAATTGAAGTGGTTAAAGTATTTTCCAAGGAGGGCCAGGGCAGAGGTCCAGAGATTTTCCGTTACATTTTTCACGTTCCAGACTGGTTTTTAATCCTCCCTTGGGTGGCCTTTCACTGGTAACACCCAGACCACTTTTACTCAGACGGAACAGTGCCTGGGGTGAATACAGTGGGTCGAATCACCTTTGACAGGTGGCATTGAAGCTGGGAGAGGTGAGGTGACATGGCAGAAGGCACACCAGGAAGTCAGCGACAGAGCCCAAAGCCACTGTGTTGCCCCTGCCTTCCAGCCCCACCCCCCATTTCACCTCACGTCCCTTCTCTAATTTATTAGCAGGCATTCAATACATGTACATGAAATTGAATTATGAGAGTTTTTGCTGAGGTAGGAACTTGCTAGGCCACAGCTTATACTCAGGCATGCTGCCACAGAAGGGTTGTGCTGAGAAAATCAGGCTGAAGAGCCACCCAACCAAGGCTTGTGGGGGAAGGGATGGAGACTCGGGGGTGATATGTGCATTCGTGGGGGCAGGAGCAGGGAGCCATGTCAGCCATGTTCGGATCCCTGACATGCGCACTGAGTGATGTCATAGTTATGTTCTCTGAAATTCCGTTCTATGACTGTGACCACGGGTTTAAGCTTCAGGCCTAGTGCTTCAGCATGGTGGAAGTAGGAGCTTTTACAGGAGTAGAGACAGATATTCTTCCTCTGAAGAAGCGCAAACCTTTCATCATTCGAAGTATGTGCACAGAAATAGGAGACTCGTGGGCAAAGTTGTGGCAGCGGGTGAGGAAGAATGGATCTTGAGGGGAGTGCCTGGACACCACTTACTGTAAGGTCTCTTCTGGCTGGGAGATACTCTTATTTCTCTGGGTTGGCCTTCACGATGCTGCCTCTGGGAATGCTGTATGTGTGCATGGGTGTGAGTGTATACACATGTGCTGCTTGTGTGACCCTCACCATCCACTCAAGGGCCCACCGAGTAGTGCCTGAGGCTGACCACTTTGGTTCCTATACCTTGGTGCCTCCCACCTGCTGAATGCAGCTTCTCAGTGTGGCCAGGATGCTGGGCAGTGAGTGGTTGGATCAGGAGACCCTTGTCCCACCTGTGACTTCAACTTGCATCTCTGGCCTAGGAATTCCTGACAACATGGAAGCTAGGGCACTCTGGCCGAGGGGAGGTACTGGTCAGATCACATGTGGAGACCCTGTTCCACTTTGGGAAGGACAGACACAAGCGAGGAAGGGTGGCCTGGGCAGGTCAGATCCTGAGAACCTCGTCATAGGAGAAGCTGGAGCTGTGTGCCTGGAGAAGAGACCTGGCCTGCCAGGAAATCTCTGAAGGGTGAGCTATTAGATTGTGTGTAGGATGGTGACCCCAAGGCTCAGAGATTACCCGAGATGTAATAAACAGCCCAGAATAGAGGTGGCAAAGCTCCCTGTGAGTGGAGGTATACAAGCAAAAGGTAGGCAACCACTCAGCTACCTCTAACAAGGCAGAGGATTAGAGAAGTGGCCTTAAGGTGTCTGCATTCCTAAGAATCTGTAAATTGGAGACCTAGGAAAGTGACTTGATACCTCTTGGCTCTTGTCAAAGCAGCGCTATCTTTGCTTTTGGTCTAAGTTAGATCCTTAATAATGGAAGCCTAGCAGTACCAGTTGGAGGGGCTCAGGCTTGCTCAAGGAGGCTCACAGGAGTTGGCAAGAGCTGGGTGGGGGTGGGGAGGCAGGTGCTTTGTGAGGTCAGTTCACACACCTCAAACTTAGCCAGTTTTTGGAAACAGCATTTGGAAAACTCAACTGCTGTTCTCATTTCTAAATTTGGGAATTATAAAGACCTGGCTATCTTGGCCGCTCAAAATGCTTTGGAAAGGGAACTTATAGAACTCACGATGCCTCTTCCATCATTTTCTCCAAATTTCAGCCCTTAAAATGTGCACCTTTTCCTCACCCTTCCTTTTTCTTCCGTTCTTTCTAGGCAGCTCAAAGAGGGAAGGTCCTCTGATATTTATCCGCAGGGCCGATACTAGGATTTGGAATGGGACATTTCTTCCTTGTGTGTGACTGTCCTGCACAATGCAGGGCATTTAACATCCTTGGCCATCCCCTCCTCTTACTAAATTCCAGCAACTTCCAGTCGTGGGGTATTTTCAAACCTCTCGTAGGGATGACATTGCCCTCTCTCTTTGAAAACCATTGGGGAATCCCCACAAAGAAGTGACTTGCTTAAGGCCATACCACTTAGCCAGTGAGAGGTAAAGCTGAGGCCAAGTCAAGTCAAATCCTGTTTATCCATTCCAAGAACTTTTATTCTTCACTAGCGTGTATGTTAGGGGAGCAGGAGGAATATAGGCCTGAACTGAGGCAATGAAGAGAGAACTCCGACCACAGAACTACAATTTCTCACAATTTCTCTGCTTTTGCCAAACAGCCTTCTCCTCCTCTAGCCCACCTAGCTTGCTGTTTCCACAATTGTAGGCACAGACAGACTCTCTGGCAATGAGTGGAAAGAGCCTAGTCGAGTACGGTCCCCAGGAGCGGAGTTGGGTCCCTTTTGGGCGGGGTAGCAGGATCTCAGTGCTGAAACTCTAAGGACCTGCCTTCCACTGGCCTCGAAGAGCGAGCTGCCGCAAGGCCTCTGCCGCCGAGCCGCAGGGAGCTGGGCAGAAGGTGGAGAACTGTCGACCCTTGCGGGTCAACCCCTGGAGGCTTCCTAGGGCTGGGGGCCTAACTGGGGGCCAGGGATCCAGGGTCGGGGGGCGCCCAGGCGGGAGCAGAGGGCAGTGCAGCGGGGCTCGACCTCATCTTCCCACGCCAGAGGCCGAGGCCTCGGGGAATGGCGGGGCCACCTCTCTAAAGTCTTTTGAGATTCTAGCTCGGTTAGTAGAGGGGACGCGGCGCGGGGGCGATGGGAAAGCCAGAATATTATTATTCCTCTGTTTTGCCTCGGCAGCCAAAGCCAGCGCCGGCGGGTTGTTCTGTTTGAATGAATGATCTCCGCGGCCGCGCCCAATGGGCGCCCGTGCCTGTTTAATATGCATGAGGCCCGCAGCCAATGGCCGGGCGAGGAGGCTGTTTTAAACGGCGGAGCCCGCTGGCCAATCAGGCGGCTCTCGTGGAGGCAGCTAGCGCGAGGCTGGGGAGCGCTGAGCCGCGCGTCGTGCCCTGCGCTGCCCAGACTAG